AAAAAGTAAAATGCAATTCCGTTATAAATTCAATTGATTGATTGATATTCGTGCAAACCCGCTCGGCTCTGTGTTAAGCATATGGGGACGGCGAATTTCTCCCGGAGGGAAGCACCTCGCTCACTAAAGCACGTGAATCAGCCGCATTCCTGTGTGGCGCGCAATGCTGAAGAGATATGTGTTTCCGCGGGTATCTCGCAAGCCCTAACAGGAAAAGCTCGCTGCAAAAACTGACCGCTTCAAAAAACCCGCAATCCTACTCAAATGGATATTTAAACAAGATATCTTGGCTCGCTCCGCGTCGCTTTGGCAATCAAAGTATGAGGGAGAAAATTTGGGATCGATTGGTGTTCGTCCCGTGTTAATCGGACGTCTAGAAGCTTAGATATTCACGAAAAACTTGTTGAACCTGCCAAAGTACCTGCCAGCTTGCTGTATCACCTGCTACTTGGTAATGTACTGAAAACTTGCTAATGTACTGAAAACCTGCCAAAGTACTTGGTATTTACTTGCCTAAATACCGCAAAGAACTTGTTCCTTTCCGACGTTTAAATCAGACGGCTTTAGTCGATCAATGACTTTGCGAATTTGCCTTGGTCTCAGATAATTTTGATTTGTTCCAATGAATTATTTGTAATTTGAATTATACTTGTTCCCAATTTGTATTTTGTTTCACCTACCTATCATTTCTAACTTGTTTTAGCGTCCTACCTATTAAGCGATTACACATACGTTGAGAGAGCCGGTGGGTGGTTATAATGCAATACCCTGCACGGTGAACAGCTTGCGAGTTTTACAGCGGTGCGATTGCTGGGGCTTATCGCTGACAGAAAAGGGTAAATACAGTAAATACAGATGGCTGTGTTGGATCCCTTTGCTTTTGCCCAACATTCAGCGTTGGAATTGTGGCTTTACCGTCCCTCTTATCAAAGTTATCTAACTTTTTGTAGCTTCGTCAGGTTAGACACGACGCGCGTGACCTCTGGCGGCCGCTGGCGGAACTACCGCGCACGGCCCGCACACGGGCCTGGCGGCCGCCAGTGGAACTACTGCGCAGGTGGCAGCACCTACCCGTGGAGAAGCGGCTGGCAATCGGCCGCCCCACTCCCCACCCCGCCCCCACCCAGCTGGCCGCCAGACCGTGGGAACGACTCGGCTCAGCGCTGCCGGCCGCTGGACGGGGAAACCCCGCCCCGCCGCCCGCCGCCCAACACACTGCCGCCGGGCCGGCCGGTGGAATTTTCCAGCCGTCTCTCCGGAACGGCGGCACCCCGCTCATCTTCGCACGCGCATTCAGCGGCGGCTTGTCGATTTTTCGAGTGTCGGCTGCCGATCTCCCGAGAGCCGGCCACCTGTCAGCCGCCGCTCGGCTCCGTGTTAAGCATATGGGGACGGCGAATTTCTCCCGGAGGGAAGCACCTCGCTCACAAAAGCACGTGAATCAGCCGCATTCCTGTGTGGCGCGCAATGCTGAAGAGATATGTGTTTCCGCGGGTATCTCGCAGGCCCTAAGAGAAAAAGCTCGCTGCAAAAACTCAGCGCTTCAAAAAACCCGCAATCCTACTTAAATGGATATTTAAACAAGATATCTTGGCTCGCTCCGCGTCGCGTTGGCCATAAAATGATTAAGGAGAAAATTTGGGATCGAATGGTGTTTTTCCGGTGACGATCGGACGTCTAGAAGCTTCGATATTGGCGAAAAACTTGCTGAACTTGCAAAAGTACTTGGTACTTGCCAAAGTACTCGGTACTTGCCAAAGTACTTGGTACTTGCTTGGTATTTGCATAAGTACTCGGTATTTGCCAAAGTACTTGGTACTTGCTTGGTATTTGCATAAGTACTTGGTACTTGCTTGGTACTTGTAAAAGTACTTGGTACTTGCGAAAGTACTTGGTACTTGCTTGGTACTTGTACTCGCCCCCCCCCTTGTTCCCCCGACTCTACTCCCACCCCTACACCCTCGGGATAATTCCGGGTTCGTCGGGTAGAAAAACTTGCCACTCTATCCCCCCCCCCCCCCAGAGCCATTTGGTATCGATCGGTGTTTGTCCCGTGTCAATCGGTCGTCAATAAGCCGAGATATGCACGGCGACTTATTTCAATCGGCGCCGATCATAATCTTCAGGACGGAGGTACCCACACTCATTTCTGGCCGTATCTCACTTTTCCGAGATCTACGTCAAACTACGTATTTAAAACTACAATTCTACAGCCGAATCTTCCAACTGGGGGTACCTCACTCACAAAAGCACGTGAATCAGCCGCATTCCTGTGTGGCGCGCAATGCTGAAGAGATATGTGTTTCCGCGGGTATCTCGCAAGCCCTAAGAGAAAAAGCTCGCTGCAAAAACTCAGCGCTTCAAAAAACCCGCAATCCTACTCAAATGGATATTTAAACAATGTCCAGCGCAGTCAAGGGGAAGGTGATAGAGGTCAAATTTCAGCAACTTTCAAAAGGCCCCAAAGGGCCTTCAACTGGCGTCAAAGGACCCTCAGAAGGCCTTAAAGGGCCCTCAGTTAGCCTTAAAGGGCCCTCAGGTGGCGTCAAAGGGCCCTCAGATGTCGTCAAAGGGCCCTCAAAAGGCATCAAAGGGCCCTCAGCCGACATCAAACGGCCCTCAGAAGGCGCCAATGGGCCCTGTACCGGCGTCAAACGCCTCCGAAGGCGTCAAAGGGCCCTTAGCTGGCGTCAGAGGGCCCCCCAGCTGGTGTCAGAGGGCCCTCAACTGGCGTCAGATGACCCTAAGCTAGCGTCAAATGGCCCTTCGAAGACCTCAAAGGGCCCTCAGCTGGGGTCAAAGGGCCCTCAGAAGGCCTTGAAGGGCGTCAAAAGACCATGAGATGGAGTCAAACGGCCCTCCGAAGGCCTCACAGTGCCCTTAGCTGGCGTCAGAAGGCCCCCAGCTGGTGTCAGAGGGCCCTCAACTGGCGTCAGATGACCCTAAGCTAGCGTCAAATGGCCCTTCGAAGACCTCAAAGGGCCCTCAGCTGGGGTCAAAGGGCCCTCAGAAGGCCTTGAAGGGCGTCAAAAGACCATGAGATGGAGTCAAACGGCCCTCCGAAGGCCTCACAGTGCACTTAGCTGGCGTCAGAAGGCCCCCAGCTGGTGTCAGAGGGCTCTCAGATGACGTCGAACGGTCCTCAGCTGGTGTCAAACGGCCCTCAGAGGGCCTCAAAGGGCCCTCGGCTGGCGTCAAAGGGTCCTTAAAAGGCCTCAAAGGGCCCTCAGCAGGCTTCAAAGGGTCCTCAGCTGACATCAAATGGCCCTCAGCTGGCGTCAAGTGGCGCTCAGAAGGCCTCAAAGGGCCCTCGGATATTCGAGCCCTTTGAGGGCTTCTTCGTTGTGACAGTGCTGCTTTGTCGGTGAGGTGCGCGGTCGCCGTGAGTCCCTCGCACGCCGCCGGGACAGCGAGAGGTGGGTGATCGGGGCCGCCGTACGTGCCCTGGTACGGGCTTCCTGAATATCTGTTACGACTGGTACTAGGAAAGTGGGCAATGGGCATGCCGCCTGAAAATTGTGTCTTTGTAGTATGTGGTATATAAAAGTGAGAAGAAAAAAATCAAATTTCTGGTCTGTGATCTCGCTACGAATCATTGTAATGACCTTTCATGTCGATGTGCCTAAATAAATACGCGAATTGACAAAGGGGGTGCTGCCCTGCTCATACACATCCGGGCCAACCCGTGACTAGCCTCCGCTTCTAGCTAGCCGGGGTCGGTCGGCCGGCCGGCAGTCAGGCGCTACCCGCGCTGATTTCTGAGGGCCTTGCATCCACGCTTATTAATCGAATATTTTACGTGATTGTTAAGATGGTGATAACTAAGTACTCACTGAATCGTATTTGAATGAAACATGCTGCGTAAACAAAAATGGAACATTAAATGCTTCGAAAATTGAACGGGTACTGAGGTAATTGTTGTATCATGTATTGACAGAAGCTAAGTTTTAAGTCAACCGAAATATAATCGCGTTGGGGAACATTTTCGGCTGGGGCCTGGGGCCCTTCGGCATGGAGGGCCCCAGTTTGCAGGTCGTGCCCCCCCCCCCCCCGTTCAAAAATCCTGTGTGCGCGCCTGTTGAGAGATATGCACCATCTATGCTTCTTGGAAGCGCCCCTATCCTCATTGAAGGTCGCCCCCATCACCAAGTGCACCCCCCATCTCAAAAGCAAAAGTTACACCCCTGGTTGGTCTTGTCAAAGGTCGGGGCAGATGACCAGCGGTACCGTAGTGAAGTAAGTCATACAAAGCGTACGGCGCCGGTGGCATCGGCGCCCAACGCGCGTATACGCGTGAGGTAGGCTGGTGAGAAGAGTGAGCTGGTGAGACGGTGAGACGGTGAGAGGAGTAAGCAGGTGAGAGGCCCCACAGGACGGCGGGGCCGCCGCACTCTCCTCCCCAGCGGCCCTTTTACGGTCAAAGCGCCCGTGTGGGTAACAGGTGAAACGTTGCGAAACCCGGCCCGATGCGATACGGGGGACAGTTTCAGGCAGGCAGCCTCCTTGGTCGGGATAGTAACCAGAGCGAACGCAAACTGCAAAGATCATGTAGGTTCTCGAGTTGATTATTGAGCCCGTCAATGATCCAGGCTCAAAAGTAAAGCAGCTGTAACTTACGAACCACATCACTAACTCGCGGAATTCCCCTGGCCGGCACGCAACAACCAAACATATTGATATCCATAGGTCTCGCAGTTAGCAATATGAGAAAAAGTGTGTGTTATTCGATATGCAACACTGTTGCTTATTACGGGCACATCGAAATCGACCATCGTAACATCAATGCCATGTTGTAACTGAAATAAACGCATTAACCTTCCCTTCACCGGTGCGTATAATCAACCAACTGTGTGGGTGGAAATGTTCCCGGACAGTTTTCTGTTTCAACTTTCAAACCACGGCAGCCGACAGCACATTTCGAAATGAATGAATGGTAGCTGCTCGGTTATTGCCTCACCCCCCTCACCTTGCAGACACAAGCTCGGATTGTTTGTACTCACCGATCAGCTGATCACTCGGTCTCCAGGGCAACGATCCGAGCTTTGGGCACTGGCAAACGACCCTGCACACACTGTAGCACTGGGATCGCAGTCTCGCACGCCGGGATCCACGGTAAATCTGTCGAATTCGTCCCGTGCCGCGCCGAACCGCGGAGCGCCGACTGACCCACTTTCTTATCCAATACACACTAGTGACTGCCGGCCGGCCGCCGCCGCCGATTTTCACTTCTGCCCGGCGCCTCTATGGTGCTGCCGCGTAGCGGCGAGGAGGTGCACTGCAGCCTCACAAATCGGCCGCAGGCTAGGGGGCATTGCTTAGGCCGCTTTGGGTGTAGGTATAGGGCCGCTATAGGGTGTATTAGGCCGCTTAGCAGTGACGTACCCAAGGGGGGGGGGGGCACGGGGGCCATGGCCCCCTCCTGAGCGCCGGCCTCTGAGCGCGCGTCTCGGACTGTTCGACCACGTGGTGTTTGCTTCTTTCCCCGGGTCTGTCCCACCACCCCTCCCTCCCTCTGTTCAGGGGCCCCTCAGGCCAGGGGCGGATCCAGAAAATCTCCAAGGGAGGGGCCATTAGAAACCAGGAGGCCCCCCCCCCCATAATCCCACCTGTTGGAGGCCCCATCTTCCCACTTGTTGGCCCTCCCCCCCAAAAAAACTGCGTCTATTGAGCTTATCTAGCTGTTCAGGCAACATCTCAACATCTGTGCAGGCTTGGAGGCCCTCTGTGCAGGTTAGGAGCCAGGAGGCCCTGTAAAAGTGGTCATCTCTGTGAGTATAAGAGACCTCCAAGTTATGAAAAGCTTTACCAATCTTCTAACAAAGAAGTCTTCTCAGCTAGTCTTCTAAGAAATAACTTTTTATTATTTTATTTTTGAAAAAAATCGGCCAAGGGGGGGGGGGCCATGGCCCCCATGGCCCCCCCCCCCCTTGTATCCGCGCCTGCCTCAGGCCCCGGTATATTTTTTAAAACACTGGATAAAACGTCTTTTACTAGGAAGAAAAAATGATATCAAAGTTTCATTTATGTGCCCCTGGTTACCCGAGGGGCCCGTGATGACCTGATGGGCCCCTGCAGTCATCCGAGGGCCCCCGGTTTCCTGGGCCCCTGGTCGCCTAGGGGGCCCGTGGTAGCCGGGGCCTGGTGGCGCATGGGGCCTCTGGTCGCATGGGGCCCCTGATCGCCTGGGGCCCCTAGTCGCCAAGGGGGCCCCTGGTAGCGGGGGCCTGGTCGCATGGGGGCCCCTGGTTGCCTGGGACCCCTGAGGGCCCCTGGTTGCCTGGGGCCCCTGGTCGCCTGGGCGGCCTGGGGGCCCCCGGGTGACTTAAGGGCCCCTTCGGAAGCAGGTGGCCCCCTCCTGGGCGAAATCCTGGGTACGTGCCTGCCGCTTAGGGTGTATAGGGCCTTGTTAGGCCGTAGTGGGATACGGTTCGAACAAGGCATGAGAGCGAGAAGCAATTTGAGATGCTTAATTCAGCTCAGCTTCGCCTGTCCCGCTTATGCTTAGCTTTCATGTTGCCCTCAATCTATAGTCTCACACTCATCTGACCTCAGACTTTGCTAACATTTCTCTGCATGATTAGGCACTCAAGTCAACCAACTTTCACCGTCCGCCCTTTCGGTTTTCTACGTGGGGGCGGACACGAATCTCATCCGACCGTCTCGCCCCTCATTTAGCTAAAGCTTTTCGGTAAACGTTAGCACCAGTGTGCGAATTTACAGACGCAACAAATGGTGTTCAATTTTAAAGTCGAAAATCAATCTCTCCAGAAAAATCTACGGTTAGGTCAACGACCAAAGGTCCGGGTCCATTTAAATATTTCTTTTGCAAAGTGGTTGCAGAGGCGAGCAACGATTTTGGCCTCATCGCATTTGCCAAGCTCAGATGCGTCACGTATTTATTGTACTTTGGTAGAGGATAAATAAGGTGTTCCGTCTTGACCTCAAGGCTCAAGGTCAAAGTCAGTTCATAAAGCCGGTCAGATCAGGAAGCTGGTCTAGGAACCATTCGTTTTGTCAGCTCAAGCTATGCTGATCCTAAGCTAAAACTCGAGAAGGCTTTACTTTAGCCACACAGGTTCTCACAATAAAAAATAATAACTACCTATATCGCTGCGTAATAGGTAAAGGGCAAAGGCGCATATGAACAATATTAAATACATGATATTGCAGATCATATGTTTCCACATACCAAACTCTTGCCCATATGATTGCAGCTGTTTATGATTCTTTAGCATCTAACAGGGGCGGTTCTCCCATATAGGCAAGGTAGGCAGTGCCTACGTCAATTGCCGTCTCCCCTGCGTCTAAATCATCACTATATCGTGGCTTTTGTTTGCTTGATTGCTTTTGTCCAAAATCTCTTGTTTCTCGTTTTCAAAATGCGTTGAAACGAAAGAGAATTTCCTTAACTTTTCAAAAAACGTCACATAAAGATCGTACTATAAGAACCTTGACGAAAACCTTTGCCTAAGTTGTGCCTACCTCGTCCTACTAGATTATCGACTATTGCCATGCTGAGGCTATTGAGCGTTTTGGTAGAAAAGGTCTAGATGGTCGGCACATCGACTAGGTGCTACCTTCTAACTCTCAAACCTAACTTTTTAAAGTGTCCATTAATCGTAAAATAAAGCACATTTTACTTTATCAATTTTTATCGTAAGTTCAGCGTACGTGGCGTTGTTATGCTTGTTGTGTTATTCTATTGTTCCTTAAAAATTATATTGAACGAACTAGACTCCTACTGAGAGACTAGTTTCCCTCTGGCGGCAGACGTGTAAGCTCTAGTTAAGTTGATGGGTTTTTGTAGATGACGTTGCTGTCGCTGCTTGACGCATCCCGACTAAGCAATAAGGCTGTCTCTCCCCCCTTTTACCTCTATTCCGTATTCAGCTTTTCTGCCTTACCTACCAAGTCATGGGCGTAGGAACGGCTGGAACATTGTGGGTGCATGGGTGCAGAAATCCAGCCATGGCCGGTGAAGCGGGGGGGGGGGGGTAGGGAGCGACACACCCGAGCGAAGGCTCATTACGAGCTTTGAGGGGGGTGTATACTGTACATATACCATGTCGAAAAGGTACCAACCGATAAGTGCATTTGGAAGCATTAATTCCCTCGCATGTGTAGGGATTTCGGATGAACCCCCCCCCCCGTGGTTTTTCGCACATAACTCGCGCAAAAAGCGGCTGATCGCGACGAAACTTTAAGTACCCTCGAGTTGATCAGTTTTACACCTACTCTGAAAATTTCATGACCCTGACCCAAAAGACCTTTGACCGTGACCTGATTCTCGAGACCATGTTCGGCCGGATTCGCGATTTGGCGTATGTCAGCTCACATTATCCGCGCGTTTCCAGTCTTTTTGTGATTGTAGACGTACAAACATGTGAAATGATGTTCGCCCCATGCATCACGGTGGGTGTGAAGGTCACTTGAAGGTCAGGTCAGGTCATTGGACCTTTGATGGCCTCGGTTCACTTTTTCGAGTATTACATGTTTCTAGGGTAGTTTTTCGGGCTGATTTCGAATTTAGCATCCATTTGAACGTTTACGAAGTAGTTTTAGTGCCTTCGTAACATGCTAGCCTACGACGCCATCAGTGGTAGTTGACACCTGCTATGGATAGCCGGTAGGACGCCTAATGGTTGACCTGACCTGACCTGACCCGATCTGGCCTAAATGCATGAAGAAATCATCTGTGATAAAAACTAACATGATATTCGTGATCAGCACCCCGAAAAACCCGATAACAGCTTCACTTTACGCAGTTCTAGCAGGTCCGATTTTCCCGAATTTTGGAACATTGACCTGACATGGAAGGTCAACCAATGACCTAGGACCTTAAAATTGGGTATCATCGGCTTCCTCTCGTCACGGGCACCACCCTCGTTTTCTTCCGCGAAGCTCTAGCTCGATCAGGCCCCCCCCCCCCTCCCCCTACACATGAGAAGCTGGAAAACGCCGCACACATGCGAGGGTTAGTAAATTGTCAATATTGACTACAGTAACAAGTACATAAAAGCGGCCAACTTAGCCATTTTCGAAGATATCGGGCTAAACATTTTGACAGTGGGTCATCGGCTCGGTATGTGTTCAATCACATGCTCCATTTCCCTTTTTCTTCAGCACAAATGTACCTAAGTTTTGAAGACCATCACAAAAGCAAATGCTTCGAAAGATGGATAGCGGGCAACATATCCTGAATTTGCCGTGCTGCATGGAAAGTAGTGTTGATGAGAAAAGGGGTTTTTGGTTCAGATTATTGTGGGTGCAGAATACATTGTCTGCACCCACTGGAGAAATATTGTGGGTGCAGCTGCACCCTTGCACCCATGGTTCCTACGCTTATGTACCAAGTGCCTACCTACTTTCAATAGGTCAGCGCCGCCCCTGGCATCTAAGGCTGATTGCTTTGGATAAACATTAAAATGCTTATAGTAGGTACCTACTCATAACATAGCATAAAGCAGTTTATGATCTCGAGTCAGGCTATCGTTTTCGTAAAATCTGCACAATTTAAAACACTTAAGCTTGATGAATAATGGAACTTTTCAAGCCTTCACGCCGCAAAGTGTCTATCCCTTTTCAATGATGCATCGTTGAAATTAACCATCGCGATGGTTAAATATTTCTAAGGTGCAGTGATAGCCAGGTCGTTTAAACAGATAATTAATTTCAGCCCAGGTCTTTTCATCAAACGGCTATTATTTATCAATTTCGACAGGTCTTATCAACTCCCGGGGCCTTTTATTCAGTCGGCGAGGGGGGCAGCCACCAGAGCAGTTACATTCCAATCCACACCGTACGGTCGTGTTCCCAGCACATCCGTGTCTGATCTCGCAGTTCCAATACAGCCTGATCAGTATTTACCGACGTGTGTGAACTCTGATTGGAGCGGCGCTCGTCTGGCGCAGTCGCCGCGGCCCGGGACGACACTTTTGTCGTCACCCAGCACCAGTTAACGTCTGGGAATGTTGCGCAAAAAGTCGCCCCTCTGCCGTCGATTGTCCCCCCCCCGTGTCTCCCCTCCCTCCCTGCGACCCCTGCGGCGGGCCCGGCGGCGCGGGAGTCGCCCCGGGAGGACGGCACGCACAAAAGGCGCGCGGGCTGCGCCGGGGCGCCCACCGTCGTAAATACGCGGCGCCCTCAGCACTCCCAGGTGTCGGGAGTCGTAAACGACGCCAAGGTGTGACTTATGGCGACACCGGTCTGCGGTGTGTAAACCGGCGGACACGGCAGATGA